AAAATAAAAAAGGGCTAGGGATGTGGCCCAGTGGTTAAATGTCCCTGGGTTCAATCCCAGTGTTAAAATAATAATAATAACAATAATAATGACTCTCCTTTTGTAAATAGGTGAATTATTATAAGAAATCATTTGCAAAGCTGGAATTAACTAAAGATCTGTTATGCTAAAGACAGAAAAGTCAAAAGTAGTTTCATTTTCAGGGAGGAAGTTGGAGAAGGAGTGGACTGTGACCAGGACTGACTAAACTGACCTTTTATTCTGCCATAAACAGATAAACAGGGCTAAGTCAAGATATTGCAAACAATTATACAAAGTGTTGGTCTCTCAAATGAATATAATCCAGCCTTCCGGACGGACACTGTACGGCATTAGTTCTTTTGCACCTCTCCTGCAATATGATTGTATCACAGTTAATTATTTATTCATCTAAATTTTCAATCATTCACTCATTGAACATTGATGGAAGCCTTGATATGGGCTAAGTACAATGCCAAAGGCCAGGTACAGAACAGAGCGAGACACAGTTCCTATAGTCCAGAAGCTCAGCCCAAGAAGGGGGAGGAGACATGTAAAAAATTAATTGCAATATAACATGAGAGATACTCTAATGCATGTCCTGATAGCCTGGGGGCAGAGTCTTCAGAAAGGAGGTGACATTTAAGTGGATCTGTGACAGAACGTTTTCTAGACTGAATTTTCAGAGTCATTGAAAGCCCCTGAGGAGCCAGATAAGTAGCTGGTACACAGGGATCTGAGGGTATCAGAGAATCAGAAGAGGAGGCTAAAATATTAAGTGGGGCAAAAGGTCAGTGGCTTGGAGCTTCACAGACCTAGTGGTGGGCATTGGACTTTACAGATAAAAGTGACTCGTTGGAGGTTTTTAAGTAAAGGAGTGATGATATTTGGGGTTTTAGAAGGACATTTTGGCATCAGTCTGAAAGAAGAGTTTTAGTAGAGGAGGGATTGGAAGCAAAGAAATCAACAGAGATGCTATTTCAATAATCTAGACGAGAAATAATAATGTCTTGAGGATTGAAAAAGAGGAACAGAGGAGTTCAAAGAAGAATTGAGAGGTTGAATGAAGGCTTGGTAATTACTGGATGGGAGATAATGCGGGAAGGGACTTAAATGGCACAGACCAGGTAGAGCCGAAGTGTGAGAAGAGAAGAGGCATGAAGACACATTCTAGGAAGCTCTATCATAAATGGATGCCCAAGGAGGAGGAGCCAGCCAAGAAAGTGAATGGGAGAGAAGAGGAAGTTACAGGAGACAAGAGAAGGAGGCACTCAGTAGATCAGAGTTGCTGAGAATTCTCCTACAACATTTGTGAAATTTCCTTATCAAAGAGCAAAGTCTTTGGCAGTAGGAGCCCTGGCCTTATACTTTGCATAAAGCAAGCTGTATCAAAACAACATACAGATAGAGTGATTTGGAGATTTCTAGTAACTGCTAAATGCCCAGAG